TGTAAGTAAATTCCATTCATATAATGGAATTATACACTATGTTTGTGTGTGTGCAATTCCCCTGAACGTGAGGGTTACAGATTCGTCTATGGTGTTGAGTATATCAGGGTTTTTTTGTTTTGTTGTTCTTTGTTTTAATTACTGTCATATTACATTGCCCAAACATGTCACAATGTACCTCTCACCTGTTGGAGATTTTTCTCTCTTTCTCCACTTTGTGGCTATTATGAGGATGCTATGAATGTGCTTGTACATCTGGAAATGTTTGCTGGTTATCTTTGGGAACAAAAATAGTATAATTGTTCAAATCTATAGGATTTCTTAACTGTTTCAGTGTTTAAAGATCTTTGATATCACTCATCAGCCTGGTGGCTGTCTTGGATAAGCACTGGATTATGAACCACAAGGTCAGTGTCCGAGCCTATCAGTTGCTCCGTGGGAGACAGATGAGGATTTCTGCTCTGCAGAGAATTACAGACTCAAAACCCTATACAGGTCCTTTCTCTTCTGCTGGAGAGCTGGGACTCTACAACTGGAAGCCATTTCCTCGGTAATCAACTTCTCTCTGTATATGTTGTTGTTGTATATACACATGTATGTTTATATACATATATATGTATGTTGTTGTTAAGTGCCATCGAGTCGACTCTGACCCATAGTGACCCTGTATAGGGTTTCCGAGGAGCAGCTGGTGAACTTGAACTGCCAACCTTTCAGGTCAAACGGCTTTGCAGTCTGGCACATTAACCCACAGCACCAGACCAGGACTCCATATATATATGTATATACGCATATATATGTTTCAGTGGTTTTGCTTCTCTAGAAAACCTAACCTGATACAGGGTGGAGGCATGTCTGACCCCCACTTCATAGGAATCAGCCTTGGGCTGATTTTGAGTTTGGTCCTCTTTCCGTCTTGTGGCGTCAGAGGAAGTCAGACATGGTCCCCACTTGGTTTAAGCAGTTGCTGCTGTGAGCAGGATTCATTGCAGTGGCTCCAGACCTATGAAAGTATGAGGTTTTGTAAGAGAAAGAACGAAGGGGCCTGGGATAAAGTGTGTCAGCTGAGGGGAGAGCAGTCTGGAGTGGATGCCACACTGAATAGAAAAGGTCTGTGGCCAGGGCCTACTAGAATCCACCCTGTCTGAGGCCTAAGGCCATATGCATATAAAAGGGATTAGTCCAAGGGAGAAGAAAAGATGGAACTTGAGTGTTTTTAAGGGTTTATGTGTTTGACTGTCTTATGGATATTTGTTTCTCCTGCCCATTAATGTAAACTAGACATACATGTGTGATAGAAATGAATGTGGGTGTGATGATTACAGAGAGCTTGGAAGCCCACCTTCAGCCTATACTTGATGGGATTTGTTAAAAGTTTGAATTTGCCTGGAAATAATAGGCTTCTTGGTTTAAGCCTTTGTAGAGTATGGGGCATTAGGGGGAATCTGGAGCCCCAACTAGGACCTTCAGAATTGGGACATTTGCGTTCTAAAAGACATGCAGACCTGCCCAGAACTGCTGGGGGATTAGGAGATTCATGATTGAAAGAAAGCAGAGAGGGAAAAAAAAAAAAAAAAAAGGGCAGTTAGGGTTTTGGTGGTCTTTTCAGTTTCAGAGGCATCAAGGCGTGGAAAGTCAGCCCATCAGAAAAAACCCCTTCTAGGGAGTCCTGGTGTGGCGCTGTGGGTTAATGCGCCAGATTGCAAAGCCGTTTGACGGCAAGGTCAGCAGTTCAAGCTCACCAGCTGCTCATCGGAAACCCTATTCAGGGTCACTATGGGTTGGAACCGATTCAATGGCACTTCACAACAACAGGACTGAAAGTTAAATGGAACTGGTGAGCCATAAACTTGCTGGTGACCCTGTGCGTCTAGGTGTGAGAGGAATTGGGGAAAATGCAGCAATGAAGACAAGAGCTGACTTTGGACATGTTCTATTGGCACCAGCTGACCTTGAGATAAGAGAGGGAAGGCTGACTTGTCTGAAGTTTACGGACTTGTGTGAAATCCTGAGCCCATGGGCACTGATGTAGCCCATAGGAGCTAGGGCTGAGAGTGAACAGGCCAGCTGGTTTAAAGTGAAGGGAGGTGTGTGTGAACTCCCAGACTTGCAGCTGATACCCATTTGTCCTAGCTTGGGTGGCTAGGGCTGAGCTGACCAGAACCTGAGCAGATGATGATAAAGAGGTTTGATACTGTGAGCAAGTACAAATTGCTACCATGTATTATTATACGTGACTTTTGCTATGGATGCAGCTGCTCAAAATTCCAATTGGAATGGAATTCTTCAGATCAAGTAACATGCTTGTCTCCTCTGTATACTGGGTTGATTGTTGTCGTTGTTAAGTGCCATGAAGTCGATATGACCCATAGCGACTCTGTAGAGGGTTTCTGAGGAGCAGCTGGTGAACTTGAACCACCGACCTGCAAATAGCTTTGCAGTCTGACGCATTAACCCACAGCGCCACACCAGGGCACCACTGGGTTGATTGTTGTTAAGTGATGTCGAGTTGATTCTGACCGACAGCAATCCTGCACATGGTTTCCGAGGCTGTAAATCTTTACGGGAACAGAAAGCCTCATCTTTCCGTGGAACAGCTGGTAGTTTCAAACTGCTGACCTTGAGATTAGCAGCCCCATTTGTAACAATTACTCTACCAGAGCTCCTTGGTTGATAGGGACGGGCAATTTATACACTGGCTATCAAAGACGGGGGTGGGCTGGGTGGGTGAGTGCTATAAAGGCATGTAGTGGCTAATTTACAAGCTTTCAAGAGTGTGCTTAGTTTTAGAATGAGGGGACATGGGAGAATCCCCAGTGAATAGTTTTCCTCCTTTCCAGATGGGTCTATTGAAGAGGGTCGTGTTGATAGAATTTTATGATTTAATTGTAATTGTTAGTTGTATTAATTGTGATAGTCAAAACTATAATTACAGAAGCTATGCAACTAAAAGGGGAGAGTAGTTATCTTTCATTTTAGGAACAGACAACCCCAGGCTCATCATTAAGAACATGAGTGGAGTTTGGGATTTCTGCCTGGAAAAACAGTGATGACAGATGTTGTGGCAGAGGCAGCGGCATAGAGACAGAGCAGCTGTGGGCTCTAGGCCCATGGGCTGAGTAAGGCTGTGTGCCTACAGGCAAGGAAGCTGGCTTGCAGAATGTGCCCTTTGGACATTTTAATGAAATGTTGTTCTATATGTGTACATCAAACATTTTTGCTTTATTTGTGAAATACATGATGCACATGGGGCCACTGTGTTTTCGGCTGCATGTGTTTTAGTTATATCATATTAGGAGCAAATATGACTTTACTATTTTTTAAATTTAGAGATTATGCATATTGCTTGTAGGTTTCAAGTTGACAAGGGTGGACTGTAATGGTTAGGGTTGTGTCAACTTGACTATACTAGGATTTCCAGAGATTTAGCACTTGACATGTGATGGGACCTGTATCAACAGGAATAGTTAGTTAGCTCTGTGATGAGTGGCTATTAGTAGCCAATCAATTCAAGGGATACTTCCTTGGGGGTGTGGCCTGCTCCCAATATAATGGACACGTGGGAAAGGGTCTCTCTTCTGACAGGGACCTGGGTCTCTTCAGTTGTAAGCCACTTCCTTTATAATAAACTGTCTCTTTCTATATACAAAAGGCCCTACAAAACCCCTATACAGGGTCACTATGAGTCGGGCGGAACCAACTGGATGGTAGTTATTTTAAGATGCTAAAGATTTACTGTCACATATGTTTGGGGATGTAGAGGAAGCCACCTAGCCACTACCATCAAATTGATTCTCATAGCACCCCTGGAGAGGGTCTCTGGGACTGTCAGAGAGCAGATAGCTTCCTTCTCCTGTGGAAGTTGCACCCTTGTACCAGTCCTGCCCGACAGCACCACCAGGACACCTCTGTAGAACAGTACTTCATGATTTAAGAGAGGAATGGCAGCTTTTCAAGAAAAACACATATTTACATAATCATTTAAATTACATAAAAGCTCATAATAAAAAAGATAGAGGCGCCTAAGGTAAAAATGAAAATTCTCTTTAAAGTCATCTTTTCTATCCTCCTCCAAATCTTGTCCCTTAGAAGTAAACGAATTTATCCTTCCAAATTATGTGTGTGTGTCTGTAGAAGAAAGAAAACAGTGCTACCAGAGGACTGAAATTCCTTAGTGACTGCATATCTGAGCCGTTGAGTCCTTTCTAGATGACTACCTCAAGGTATTGCTGCAGTTGCCAATAGTGAGTAAAAGGTCCTTATGTCTCCCATGGACTACAAGTCTCCTTGATAAAGGATTGTTTAGGGTTGTCAAGAAATTAAGAGTTTTCAAACTGCCAAATAGACAACTAATTTACTCTAGGTAAATTAGTTTTTATTTCACTTAGGGATGAAGGATTGAGGTAAAGCTGATTCCATAGACTCCATATCCATGCAGGCTAGGAAAATGATATTCTTTTGGAAGGAAAGGCTAAGGGTTTTCTCTAGGCATGAGTGTTATGTTAGGTTCTTGAGGGTACAATAAGAGGTTAAGGGAGTGTGGTGGCACTGTAGGACAAGCACTGGACTTAAACCACAAGCTGCTCTGTGGGAGAAAGATGAAGCTTTCTACTCCTGTAAAGATTTACAGCCTTGGAACACATAATCAGGGTCACTATGAGACTAACTTGATGGCACTAACAACCACAGGAGACACATAACTAGATTTGTCCCATGAATTCTGCCTAATGATCCTGAATGAAAAATAAGAGTAATTTGAATATATAGGGCAGAAAACAACCTTGGGATTGAAAGAGGCTGAGATATATATATATATATATATAATATATATAAATATATATATATTATATATATATATTTGTACAGGCTGATGGTATCAGGTACATGTTTAAAATCTGTATCTGCTACACCCTAAACAATCTCAAGTGTGACTCTAGATTAATGGGGCACCTTGGAAACTTAAGTTAAAATAAACTGACAGAAATTAGGAATCATCAGCAATAATGATAATAAGACATTTATTTTCCTGACTTGGGAGGAAACGGAATAGTCAGTTTGCGCCATGATAGTTTTTCTGAAAATTTCTCCATTCACTCCACAGAATTGGATAGGATGCTTGATTTTAGAGGATTCTGTACACTGAATTCTTAAAGAGGACTTCCTTTGAAGAGAGTAGTCAGAGAGTCAGCCTTTGTGAGCAACTTCGCTGGTGCATAGCCAGACTTCCTCTCTGAGTAAAGCTTTTTCCACACTGGCCACACAGATAGGGGGTCTCTCCTGTGTGGATTTTTCCATGCAGAATACAATTCCCCCTAGTGTGGAAACTCTTTCTGCATTGTGAACAGGCATAAGGTTTCAGGCCTGTGTGGACTCTGATGTGAACAATTAAGCTTCCTTTCTGACTGAAGGCTTTTCCACACTGATCGCATCTGTAGGGCTTCTCACCACTATGAACTCTTCTATGAACAGCAAGGTTACTTTGATTCCTGAAGCTTCTTTGACAAATAATACACTCATAGGGTTTCTGTCCAGTGTGAAGTCTCTCATGAACGGCCAGACTACCTCGCTGACTAAAGCTTTTCCCACACTCCTTGCACTCATAGGGTTTTTCTCCTGTGTGTATTCGCTGATGTGTCACAAGATTTCCTTTGGCCCTGAAGCTCTTTCCACAATGGGTACACTCAAAGGGCTTTTGACCAGTGTGGATTCTCTCATGTAATGTCAGACTACCTTTTTGCCTAAAGGATTTTCCACATTCCTGGCACTCATAGACCTTCTGTCTCACTGCTGATGAATCTTCGGGTAGAGTCTTAGAATCTGGAGATTTTTGTTCCAGCTTCTCTCTTCGGAAGGAATTCTGAAAATCCCAGCTTGAGGATCCTGTGGCCTCGGAGTGCTCATATTTGTGGTGGGCTTCTGTCATCACATCTGGTAAAATGAGAGGGAAGTCATGTAAAATGCACCAATATGTTGAGTGAGAATAGAAGAAAACAACAACAACAACAACAAAACCAACCCAACACCGAGAGCTTATTATGTGCTATAAATCATACAGAGGTAATTTCATCCTGAAGACAATCCTGTGAGATCTCTACAGATGAGGAAATGATGCTATCAGAGTTCTCACCCAGGCGTGCTCCATGGGGGTGTACTGCTGCTAATTTTAATTTAGTCTCTCAGGTATCTTGTGAGGCAGACATGCCCATTTTACAGATCAGAAAACAGGTCCAGAAAATTAAACACACTATACAGGATTACAGAGTCCTGGTGTGACACTGTGGGTTAATGCACCAGACTGCAAAGCTGCCTGAACTGCAAGGTTGGCGGTTCAAGCTTACCAGTTGCTCCTAGGAAACCCTACACAGGGTTGCTGTGGGTTGGAACTGATTCGACGGCACTTCACAACAACAATACAGGATTACATGGAGCCTCATACCTAGGTTGTATTTGACTCTAAAACAACTGTGAATCCAGGATGTATACAGCCTGAAGATTTAAAATTTTAGAGGCTCCCTTTTAAGACATAGGATAAAACTAGGCCCAGGACCTTGGAAGAGATCAATGCACATGAAGGGTTCTGAGGCTTAAGTTTCTTCATTAGCATCTTTATAATCTTACTTTTGCTCCACAATTTCTGCTCTCTTGACAATGAAGTAAGCTCTAGGACCTCAGACAATATGTAGCAGAATCCTCAGTACTTTACTTTTACTATTGCTAATTCCTACAAACCTACAAGGTAGAGCTTATTGTCCCATTTGACAGATAAAGAGCCTGAATAGAAAAGAAATAACTTGCCTGATATCGCAGAAGCCAGGGTAATTAAAAGAATTTGATTCAAGCATGTTTTCTAAATTATGGTGGAACTGAAATTAATTCAGTTTTGCAAGTTATTCTCAAACCTTGCCTATGCAGATACTGACCGTTTTTCACTATTGCCTTGTGTCTGAGCCTACCAGCACAGTTTAAACCTTTATCACTGTTAACAGTGTGCTGGCTGTGATCTTTAGGATACTTTCTCTCTGGCCCTCTGTCTTATTGCTCTAAGGTTATAGGTGCTCCCTTATTCTCTGACCACCTCAAAACTACCTCCTTATCAAGACTCTTCTCTTTCTTGCTTTGAAATTTTGTTCCTCCAATTTCTACTATTATTTCTAACTCCAGTTTGCAGGCTTTTCTTGTAACCCCTGGAACAATGAATTCCTCCAAGGGAAGAGCTCTGTTTCCTCAGACTGTTGGCCCATTCTATGGACAGGGATTTGAACTCTGAGTTGAGGGCATTCCAGCGATCAACCAACTCACTCACTGAAAAATGTTACATTCTGGGCATATCTTCCATGACAGTCCAACAGGGTAGCTGTTGGAAATCCAAACATGTCCACTCTTGTATGATTTTAATCACCACCTCTTCAGAAAACTTTTCCATGGGCTGTTCTTGGGTACCTAAGAGGGAAAAAAAACAGACAAAACCAAACCAAAATAACAAAACCAAACCAACAAGGCAGAGGAGTTGTTAAGTAGGGAGGATAAAGTCCCAGGAACTCCATTTTGGAGGGCAAGTGAATAGAGGCAATTTGTCACAGTTACCTGTAAGTGCAAAATGAACTCAACGGTCTAACTACACACAAATGAGTCCAAGAGGAAACGGGAGGTGGGAAAGCAGGAGACACATAAACATGTAACTCTTCTCGACGATTCTAAAATAATGATTCCTCCTGTTTGTACCTAAAAAACCCACAATTCAGCCTTTAAGCTGGCTCCAGGATGGAAATGCCTCCAACTCTCCCCTCTACTTCTCCCTAGATTCTAAACACATGAAGAATTTCATGTTACTTTGAGCAATTCTGAGGAAGTTCCACACCAAACCCTTTTCTACCCTTAAGACCAGGCTGGGGAACCTTTTTTCTGTCCAAATTTATAACATCATTCATGGGCCACACAAAATGATCAACTTACAAATTAGCCTGCTTTATTTGGTCAAACATTTAATTAACTCACCCCCAATGTGATGGCGGGAACTGTAATTGCCATGGCAGGGCCAGACCAAATGATTTCACGGGCCTTACACAGTTGGAGAGCTGGCTGTTCCCCTCTGTTTAAGATAATGCTAGTTCTGAGGAAGTATAAATGCTTGTCAACTTTGGTAAGAGCTATTTGGGATCATAAAACCAAAGCCAATGCGCTCCAAGTTAGGTTAAGTAACTTCTTCTCCACATATAGCAAGACGTCAAGGTGGAAGAAGGGTTTAAATGCAAGGCTTTCTGAATCCAAAACAATTAATTAGACAATTTTCCAGTTCCTTATCACTGAAGGGCTGGTGAGAAGTCTTATAGAAAATGGAATAGAAGAAAGTAGTGTTTGATGGGCAGTAATTAATTACTCTCCTTCCAACTCCCTGGAATCTACTTGCATACATTCTTCATTTTGGACTGTTTTCTTCAGGATCCTAATGACTGAATTTTTACTATGTTTCCAGTGGTTTAATGTGTAGTCTTTTGTTCCTCTCAAAATGCTGGCCTCCTGATTTAATGAAATTACAGTATGATGCTACAGTTTTTTGTTTTGCTAATACAAGCACCTGTGTCTTTGACAACTGCACCTTCTGCTATGTGTGTGATGATCTACATTTTAAACTCTTATGTAGATTTGCTTACAACTTGAAGTATAAACTACAAAGGCATCTCTGTCAGAGTGTTAGGATGCCCACTTGGAAGTAGGAGTTTAAATTATTACTGCGTAACAACTACACATCCACTAAGTAGCTACTCAAAAGTCAGTGGAAAAGTATATGGTATTTACTGTCTGAAACTGGACTCTATTCCTGAAGATCCCAGAAAACAGTTCAGTTAGAACAGACAGACGGACTCACAACTCTGATGTTTTACAGGCTACTGTTGTTGCATGCCATCCAGTCGGTTCGACTCATAGCTACCCTGGATAGGGTTTCCGAGGAGCAGCTGGTGAGTTTGAACCACTGACCTTGCAGTTCAAACCGACCTTGAGGTCTAGTGCTTATCCTAGGGCGCCACACTAGGACTATTAACTCTAAAAAAAGTCACACTTGAGCTGGGTCTCGGGCACCTTCTTGATTAATCATCCTAGTTCTTTTCCTAGAAACAATTTCCTGAACATTTTGGAGACCATAGCTTTATAACAGAATCTATTGTGTTTCATGGCCATTGCCTTCTTTGGAGGAATCCTGGTGTGGCGCTGTAGGATAAACACTAGACTGCTAACCGCAAGGTAGGCGGTTCAAACCCAGCAGTGTGCCTCGGAAACCCTATGCAGGGTCACCGTGAATCGGTTTAGATTCAGCAACAACATAGTCTTTGGAAAAAGCTTGGAATTAGGCCATGAGAGACTTCGATTCTTGCCTTGCCTTCTTCAGGATGTGTACTTGGGCAACTAACCCCACAGATCAATTTCCTCCGTTACGAAACAGGTTAATAACAATGACATTTCAGGTAGCGCCTGAGAAAACAAATGTGAAGGGGCTCAGCTATGGCTTACTGATTTAAAATGGAAAATCTTTGAAAGGAGAGGACTACAAGAGGGGTGAAACTTTGGCATCTTGGAAGCTTTTGGGGGTGGGTTCCGGATTAGGAGGTTAGGGATATGTGAGATTTTCCCACACACAACCTGACTCGGTTTGTTCTTTCATTTTCTACCGAGAGGAGTCTGTCCCTTCTGGCTCTTTCTAGGCTGCACTTTCGGGTTCCTAGTCCAGATTGTGAAAACCCAGGCCTCGAGACCCTGGGGCACAGCTGCCAGCGCGGTGGCCTCCCCCTTTCACGGCATCTAGGGTGGGGGTCTTCACCAGGCCCGGCCCTATGGGGCAGGCAGTCGAAGGGTCCCTGCACCTGCCCAGCAGCCCCTTCCTTCCCTCCCGCCTGCGGCCTTCATGGCCCGTCCTGCACAATGGACCTCAGCACCCCACTGTCGGGTCAAGCTCAGCCCTCCTGTACAGGCCGCAGACCTCTCCCCTGAAGTTGGCTTCCCTTAGGGCCCAGGCCAGCCAGGTCAGGGTCGCGAAGCCGCCTGCAGAAGGAGACCACGCCGAGAGCCTGGGGGCGGGAGCCTGGCGGCGCGGCCCCGCCTCATCCGAGTGTACTGACCCGGGCCAGCGGCCTCACTCACCCCAGTGGCGTGCGCCCGCAGACAAAGGCCGGCACTCAGCCCACCGCCGCGCCGGCGCAAGCGAAACCGGACTACAACTCCCAGAAGTCTCGGCGCGAGCCTGCCCGCCTCCTGGGCCCAAGCTTTGTTGTTGTTAAATGCCGTGGAGTTGGTTCCAACCTCAACGCGACGCTGTATAGGGTTTCTGTGGAGCGACTGGTGAGTTTGAACCGACGACCTTGAGATCCAAACCGACCTTGCAGTCATTCCAGGGCTTATCCTAAAACGCCACAACCGGACTTTGGACTCCCAAGCTGTAGATGCCCCGATTTGCGGAGCATTGTGGGAAGCGTAGTTTTTGTGCACCCACGCCGCGCAGTCTCTGCCAAACGGAGCCTCCAGATGTGCACCAGACCGTGGGACAGATCCAGGGCCAGGCTGCAACACGTCCGCTGACATCTACCAGTGAAGCTGTAATAGGGTAGGCGCTCTCCTGTTAACTGACCGGTCGGTGGTTCAACCCACTAGCGCTCTGAAGGAGAAGGATGAGACAGTCGATATCCATCAATATTTACGGATTAGGAAACCCTCTGGGACAGTTTTACGCTGCCCTGTATAGTTGCTCCCAGTTGCTAAAAGTCGGAATCCACCTGACAGCAAAGAACCAAGACAGCGTCAAGAAACTGCTGATTCATGGAATTAGGAATCCAGGAAACGAAGCAAAATCTTGGGGGGAGAAATCAGTTAAAGTCTAGACGTTGAGTCGCTGCTTGAGCAATGTAATTAAGGTTCTAAGTTAATTCTGCAATTAGGGTTCTGAAGTAAGGAGCAAATAGCAAATATTTCCAAGCTCTGAAGAAAGATAATTTGGAACTTTACAATTGGATTTCAAGGGCCTGGAAGAATGCCTTACTCCCGTGAAGAACGTTTTCCTGTCTTTTTTTTTTTTTGGAACTTTTTTTAAATTGCAAATTGGATGAAGGTTAACAGAATGCATGAATAATTGCTTTTAGAAAGATCAGCTAAAGACTAGCCCCTATGAGGTGGAGTTTAAAGATAGCCCAACTGTGTGACTTTTCCAACAGGCTGGACCACTCCATAATCCTTGATATCAGTTACCACAAACATGCTGCAATATCTCACAAAAGGCACAGCTGTCAAAGGAAAGGGTTCCCATAATTATGGAAGCTGGCAAGACCTAGATCCACAGTTCAGAGATCAGTCTGGAGGAGCAACCAGAATTTGCAGGTCAGAATGTATATAGTCTGTTGATGCACGAGGCTGTGGGAGCCGGTGAACCAGGTCAGGCCGAAAGTGCCACAAACCAGGGTCAGAGGTAATGACTAGGAGAAAGATCCAGGGCAAGAGAGTAAACATTTACAAAGCAGTCCTTTAAATTAGGCTCCGACCATTTCCTTTGACAACCCTTAAGGAAAACTAAGTGTGATGACTGGAGTTACACCCTCTAGGGTGGGGGCATCCATAATCGTTTCCCCACTATAACTCTCACCCTTGGCTGCTGCTGTGTGCGGTCTAGATGGTTCTGACTCATGGCGACCTTGTGTAAGGTTTCTGAGGCTGTAAATCTTTAAGGGAGCAGAAAGCCTTTCTCCGGTTGAGTGGCTAGTGGGCTGGAACTACTGACCCTGTGGCCAGCAGCCTGTCTTAATCCTGCCTCATCAACTACTCACTTCAAAATGGTTCCTAATTGCAGACGTACAGGCTAGATGTACAATACATCACAGAATGGAAACATGTGGTAAGAATGGCCATAATAAATAATGATGGCACAGACCAGTTTTCCATTCAATAACTCACACATCGTGTGTCATATCATTGTTTGCAATCCCCACAATGTAACATCACTTAGCCCACTTCCTCCCTGATTTGGATTTCCACTCCTCCTTTCCTAGCCCCTCTAAACTTTGTCCTTGGCTTAGTGGTTACAAATTGGGCTGTGAACCGCAAGGTCAGCAGTTCGAAACTACCAGCTGTTCTGAAGGAGAAAGATGAGGCTTTCTGCTCCCATAAAGGTTTACAGTCTCGGAAACCCTGTACAGGGTCCCTATGAGTCGGAACCGACTCCACGGCTCATTACAACAACAACAAAACTTTGTCCTTGGGTAAATGCTGCCCTTTTGATCTCAAAGAGTTGATAATTCTGAGGAGTGTGTACCTCCCTAGTGTTATTGCTTATCTTATAGAAATCTCTGTTGGAAGAAGCACAGCCAGAATGGTCCTTAGAAGCCAGGATGGCCAGACTTCATCTCTCATGCTTTGGACATTTTATTAAAAAGGACCAGTCCCTGGAGAAGGACATTATGCTTGGTAAAGTGAAGGGTCAGTGAAAAAGAGGAACCCCCCCTCCCCTAATGAGATGGATTGGCACAGTGGTAACAGCAGGGGACTGAAGTGTGACAACAATTGTAAGGCTGACACGTGACCAGGCAGCGTTCCATTCTGCTGTACACAGGTTCACTAGGAGTCAGAACCGACGGCACCTAACACCACCACCAACAGACCTAGCTATGATTTGACTGAAACTTTAACCATGGGAGTGAGTTCATTTCTAGACCTGAAGGATGTCTGGAACTAGTCAGAGTCTCAGGTATTCCACTTGTAATTCTGCTCTTCTTTATGACTCGGAGTTTTGTTCCACATTTCTCTTCCACTCTATCTAGGACTTTCTAATATGATTCACTTCAGAGTGATTGTTTGTGTAGCTGAACTATTCCCTTTTGACCCACTTAAGAATTTTGACCAGTTTTTTTTTTTAGTGAGGAGGAAAATTAACACCCCATGTTCAATTTTCAGTCAAATATTAGATCTATAAGGGGACCAATAACACTAGAGAGATTTGCACATCTTAAAATAATCAACCACATAGTTCTTAAGGGTTAGGAAAGATGGAGAAATGGAAACAGGAAACACAGGGAGGAACTGGGATGAATGATGTCACACTATGGGGACTGCAGTCAATGAAACACATGAGTTGTTGAATGGAAAACTGATTTGCTGTGTAAACCTCCACCCAATTTGCAATAAAAAGTTAATTAAAAATACAAAAAAAACACCTTAATATCGGGAAAAAAAGATACAACCTAATCCTGAAAAAAAAAAAAAAAAGTAAAAACCTGTCAATTTGAAAAAAAAAAAAAAGTGCATCGATCAGGATGGAAGATATGTTGAGTAACAATAGCTTTACTCAAGATAAAAAATATATTTTGCTATATTTTTAAAAAGGTTTTTATAATTTTGTACGAATATCTTATGACTTTCCTTCCTGTGTGTGTTATTTACATATCCTTGATAAATCCTCACTTTAATTTATCTTCTCTTTGATTTCACTGACTGTCTTTCAGTCAGTTATGAGTTTGTAACTTTTGATTCCTGTTCCAACTGCACAAAAAAATTTTTTTTCCTGTCAGAACCAAGATGGAAGAATAGGCAGTCTCGCTACTCAGACACTCTACAACAAATATTGTTGTTGTTGTTAAGTGCTGTTGAGTTAGTTCTGACTCATAGGACCCTGTATAGGATTTCCGAGGAGCGGCTTGCGGTTCAATCCGACCTTGAAGTTGAGTGCATATCCTACAGTGCCACACCAGGACTCCACAACAAGGATAAGGGAGCCCAAACAAAACACACACGGATGATAATCGTGTAACCCTGAGCTTCCCAGTAAAGGTTGGAGAGATGTACTGGATGGCTGAACTGGGGCGGTGAAGGAGGAAGGTGAATGGTCTCCCAGCAAGAGGAGGCACGGCCACTTTGAGATTTTCTGGGCAGCACAGATTCATGCCAGGGACTGGCAATGGGAAAGGTGTGCCTCTTTCTTGTTCCCCATGATTCCCTGGTGACTGGAGGTATGACCAACCTTCACCGGGTTGCACCTCCAGTGCAGACCTTGCTGTCCCGGAGTTCAGAGCTGAGAGGATACTACATGTAGAAATGGATGAAATAGCAAATGTGTTGTTTTCTACAGATAGCTACAAATAAAAAAGCCTTTTTAATGAGAAAATATATATACATTGTTTCCTTTCCAGTACACGCAAAAACAGGCAAAACGCAATTTCATTTTCCCCCTTCTTTTACTTTTAGACTGCCTTTCCAGTCACCCAAATTAGCACATGTCTACATGGAACCGACTAGACGGCACTTAACAACAACAACACTCTACCCAGTGAATAATTCTCCCTGCCCTCCTACCCCTGGTAACAATTACAGAAAGTTTTGTATACAATCAAAACCTCTTCTTGACTTCTTATAGTGGTGGTCTCATACAATATCTGTCCCTTTGTAACGGACTAATTTCACTCAGCATAATGTCCCCCAAGTTCCTCCATGTTAATGTGGTGCTTTGCAGATTTATCTTTATTCTTCAGTGTTGCATAATATTCCATCATATGTACATACCAAAATTTGTTCTACTATTTCTCTGCTGATGGGCATCTTGGCTGTCTCCATCTTTTTGCTTTTGTGAATAACACTGCCATGAACTTTGCTGTGCATATTTGTGCTATGGCTCCTATTTCCTGAGGATGTATACCAAGTAGAGAGATTGCTGGGTCATAGGATATTTTTATTTCCAACCTTTTGAGAAAGTGCCATACCATTTTCTACAGCAGTTGCGTCATTTTACTGTCCTACCAGCAGTGTCGTTATTGGTGTTGTTAAGCTCTGTCAAGTCGGCTCCGACTCATAGCGATCCTGAAGAGAATTTCTGAGGCTGTAAATCTTTGTGGAAGCAGAAAACCTAATCTTTCTCCTGTGGACTGGCTGGTGGGTTCAAACCATCGAACTTGTGGTTCGCAGTACAGTGCATATCATACAGAACTACTGTAGGAGAATCCTGCACTCTTCATTTCCTTGCCAGCATTGGTTGTTTTCTGTTTTTTGGAACCTTGCTATTAATGCGGGAAAGGATGATACCTCATTGTTATTTTGATTTGTATCTCTCTAATGGCGAGTAATCTTGAGCATGTCTTCATTTTTGTCGGCTGCTTGAATGTCTTTCTTTTGTGAAGTGTCTGTTCATATCCTCTGCTCATTTTTTTTGTAAAACTTTTAAAAAAATTGTAAATTGAATGA